CACATTTTCCATGAATAAAAAACAAATCCAAACCCAATTTCCCTTTGGCTAACCAGAAAAATCCCACAACCCATTACCAGAACAGAAGAAAACCCACTCACACTGTTGCAAATTATTACATGTTAAAGGAATCTGACAACTAAATGTTATTTCTCTTTACTTTTCGTTGATTAATGGTGTATAACTAAGTAAAGCATTAAAGTGATAGGGTTTTGAAAGCTAAACTTATTTGTACACCGTTGTTTGTCTCCAAACCCTTGCCCTAGTAGCTAGGGAGAAACCCCATCCACCATGAGCGTGGGAAGCAAATAAACTCATGTCTGGCTTTTGAACCAGAAAAAAGTATCAACTCAGTCTGCTTTGTTGAGATATTACCAGCTCATTAATGTATAAAAAAAAATAAATAGGAAAATTAAAAAATAGAAATCAAAAGAACTTGGTTACTGGTAACGAGTAGCTAGCAGAGTGTGTAAAAGAAGATTAAAAAAAGAGGGAAGGAATGGACAAAAAGGTAAGGATTAGGGTGGAAGATAGGGTTTGGCCAACTGGGACTCTGGCATCATGCATGGGTGCAGTTTTGATACCTTAGCATGAAACTGGCTACTCAGCATTAAAAGAGGGAGAGCTCTTGATCACAAGCACAAATAATCCCAACCCCGATCCCATCCAGGTGGGTCAGAATTTATCAGAAAAATTAACCAAAATACATTTTATTTTTTTATATTTGTGGCCAGTAGCTTTTTTCTCTCCTTCCCTTTTATAAATATGGTAAGTTTTTTATGCACATCTTTACGGCTGCTTTGGAGCTTGTATAGAGGTGTGCAGTGCGCACCCCATGACCCGCTATTATCAAACCCTAAATAATTGCAATTGTTTTTTTGGGATCGGCTGCCCTCTCTTTGCACTGTCGTTGTTAATGCTGCTGCTGCCGCTGCTGCTCTGCCACCACCAATTTAGCAGAAGAAAGAAGAGCTGTCCATAACACTGCACAAACAACCCCCACCAGCTTTTTTGTTTCTTCTTCTTCTCTCCTTTTTTTTTTTAGATTTTTTTCCCCTGTTCTTTTGTTACTTTTGTTTTTATTATCCATCCTTCTCCTGCTTTCTGCATGACAGTAAAGATAGTGATCAGATCATAACGGAATTGACCAGAAGTGAAAACCCTAGTTGATCACAGCCGTTGATCGTTTAGCATCTTTGATAAAACTCTGAAGTGAGCAGAACCAGATGGGTGTATGGTCCATTTAACCTTTGCGAAACATGGAATGTCGAGTGGGAGAAATAAGGAAGGAAAGAAAAAGTCAGCATGGCATCTCGATCCCCATATTGTCATTTTCCCCATTTTCCATATGCCATGGCATGCCATGTCACCCTATGTTTCTTGGAAGTTCTTTAATTTATATTTTATCTTGATGGGGAATTGTTTGGTTTTCATTACCATGAATGAAATCTACCACTTGCAGTAGAGCCAAACTAATTGTTCGACTTGGACAGTGTATACGTGTTTTTGAGTCTTCACGTTCATATATCATGGGAATGTGGTGCATTAAAACTAGGAACTGGATCCTCTCCTTAGCTCAGGATGGAGATCCTCCTGAGCAGCTAATCCGGACCATTCAAATTTGATCAAACGGTTCCAAACAAGAGGCTTCTCTAAAAATTATAATAATTGCAACCGTTAGATCAAGTTTGAACGGTCCGGATGGACTGCTCATGAGGATCCCCATCCTAAGCTCAGAAGAGGGTCCAGTTCCTCAAAACTAGAGAAAGAAACATCAACATGGGCCATGCAGAAGAAGTCTTGTAGAGAGTAAATTGAATGCGTTGTTTATTCGAGAACGACTGACTTGATATTGATAGACCAGTATTCTCGTAGTTTGTATTAATTATATAATATTATGTCTAAATTTTTATGTAATTGTGTGACTGATACAAAACGTAACTGTTGTGCTATGAAAGTTGTTTTGGCCAAAGTCAAGAAAGAACGAGAGACTGAAAACGAAGAATACAATTCCTAGTTCTACTGCGACTACTTTTCTTTTCTTTTGTGAACGTCATTGATTACGCCTATCAACCCTAAAACCTACTCTAGCTAGTATCCTATTGCCCTCTCTTTCCACAGAGTGGGGACTGCACTGTACTCTTCTTTCTGCTTCATGCTTTGAGTGATAAGGCTTTAAGCAGCGCATAGGAAATCTTGGAGTCTTGTTTGCCTCTCACCACCTCCTTTTTCATCATCCGTAATGTCCTGCCTTCTTTATTAGTTACCGATGTCACGTGCTTACAATACTCCAAGGCGCGTGCGCGCACACATACACATACACACACATATATATATATATATATATATCAATTTGGTTAGGTTGATATTCAATCAGCGTATTTTTGTTTCTTATGCATGTTGGAAGAAGCAAACTTAGTTTTGGCTACCATATGTTTGTAATTACAAGAAAATAAAAAAGATATAATTATTCTATGTTACTGGTTCAAATTTAGACATAACCTATTCGTGTGAGTCAATGCACAATAAGGATTTAATGTATTTGGAATAGGGTTCACTATACTAGAAATCATTGTATTTGTATATATATTTCGTCTTTGAAAAAAGAATACAACTCAACAATTCAAACCGTAAAACTCTCATATAGTTGTACACTTTTATAACCTACTCTTACCCCTCGTCCTACACCCGATGACACATAATTATTTCTCCATAATTTGATTTAGGTTTAGTTTTGGACCAATTGAACCAATTACATTTTGGATTAGGGTTTAGCTAGTGTCGAAGCTTCGAAAGGGGTACTTCTCAATCCTAATAACAATAGGACAAAGCAAGTTAGCTATCGGAATAAAAACCAACCCGATGTGCCCGATCATTGTCAAGTGGACAAAACTTGTGTTTGGTGTGTTTTTTAAGAGAGAGATGAGAAAGGGGAGAGGGGAGCAGTAGTCCATATATTGTAAATGCAATCGGGACTTGTCCAACACTTTTCGTTATGCTTGTCCGGTCTGCTAGCTGCAGCAATGCTGCTGCTATCACTGAACACTACCGATCATTTAATTAATTATCTTGCTTCTTGATCATCTGAGCCTACATGCTGCCCTGCCTGCCTACATGATCCACATGTATACTCTAGACGGCCCCCAGTTGCAGAGTACCAAGGGCTATATATACATATATATATATATATATATGTATATATATATGATCCATGATATAATTGAAACGAAAAAAAAGTGAGGTTAAATTAATTAGAAACTTATCAGTGGGTATGTCCTGGTAAAGGGTGACAACCCCCGAACACAACAGTAGTTATGCTCACTACTGCTTCAGTAACCCTAAAAAGGGCACAGTCATATCTTACATTGTACAATATTTTTCTGCTTTCTGTTTTATTTTACTGATCATATACAAAGAACATATAAATTTATTTAATCAATTTTGGGGATATAAAGTTATATAAAGAACATATAAAGTTTTATTCTACTTTGATTTTTCTTAGGTAGGAAAATCTACATTGTTGTCTCTTGATTCTTTAATTAGTCGTTAATTTCCTCTGGATACTTGTCATGTCATATATATGGCGTCTTTAAGCTTCCTTTTGTGATGGACATATCTATGAACCAAACATTTGAAAGTTACGACAGGATGTGGATTATGTGCAGAGTAGCAAATATATTTCACACTTAAAAGGGGATTGATTTCTTGAAAGAGTTGAGGTTTCATCATAAAATTAATAGATGATACCTCATACACAATTTTATAAACATCTGATGTGAGACATTTCTTCATATCTTCTCATCTTCGCATTTCTTTCTTTTCTTTTAAAAGATTTTCCAAAAGTACAATGAACCCTACACATATCCTAGTCTATTAAACAGTGTTCCTTGTTTTATATAATTATGGGCAAGTTAGTGGAATACCAAAGATTCATCAAACTTTAAACCAATTAGTAATCACATCTTTGAAAAATATAACTAACAAATACTAAGAAGAAACTCATCTATCTCCCCGTTCCTCGCCATGTAGCTCTATCCCTTTATCGCTATGGCCAGATTTGACGATGAGTTCTTTTTAATTTTTTTGGAATTTATCATAAAGTTTTGTATGAAAAAAACATGAGAGCAAAATAGTAACTTATCTTTTTGAGTGCATATAAATATAGACCCTCTTTTTGGATTCAAATAGTGAACAATCAAAGTCTAGTTAATTTTTTAATGCTGGTCAACAATTCAGCAGCCCATCAAAAGAGAACATGAAGTTCAAATTCTCTGAGGATGCATGTACGTAATAGTTTAACCTAAACCTAAACCTCACTTTATTTGTCACGAATTTTTTAAGACTATCTTACAAGTGAGCAACAACAATTATATGCAGTATACTGGCAATTAATTGTGAGGATACGAAGATAAAAGAGTCTCACATCGGTGGAAAAAAAAAAAAAAAAAACACTTGTAAGGGCTTATAAGAGGTTGGGATTCTTCTCATATTGCCAATTGATTTTATGGTAGAACCTCAACTTTCTTCATGACATCAGAGTAAGTAGGCTTACGTGTGAAGCCCAACGGTCACACGTGCTCCACGTCACCCAATTCGCGTTAGCTTGAAAATTCGGCTCACGTGAGGGGGTGTGTGAGGATGTAAAGGTAAAAGAGTCCCACATTGGGAAAAGAAAAACCTTACAAGGATTTATAAGAGGTTGGACTACTCCCTATATTACCAATTACCTCAACTTTCTTCGTGCTTCATTCCATTTGTCTATAGAAATAAAGATCCTATACATATGTGTAAAATGTAGAACTCTGTTCCTCTGAACTTGATTTTATTAAAGAGTCAAATGTATACATGTGTAAGTACGGAAATCTCTTTAAAAATTCTATGTACGGTAACATTAATGATGGATTTTTTTTTTGTGTGAACTTGATTCAAGCAGTCCCTACTAATAATTTTTTTTTTCGGTTGACATTACCGCATAAAGTCTGAAAGGAAGATAAACTACGTTAGAATGCCATGAGGCCAATCAACTCTAGCTATATCAACAACTAGAAGATGTCCAAAAAATGGGGAGCTTGCTTAAAATATTGGAGTACGTTTAGGGCTAAATAGTACCTAGGCAAAATTTACCTAACAAAGGTGTATAAAAATAAATTACTTCCAATACTTTGTGAATTTTATTCTGCATGCAAAATTCAAATATCTCTTTTCGTATTTTAGATTAATTTAGAGTAAATACTTGTGAACAAGATACAAGCTCAAATTTCTAGTGGGAGTTTCCAGCTAGGGAGAGAGAGGAGGGGGGTTGTCAAAACAATAAAAGCCAGCCATATATTAACACTTGACAGAATTCATTACCCTAATGAAAGGAATATATCAGCTTCTGGATATGCACATACCTACTAGAAAATCCAAAACCGAAACTGACTGTTATTATATCTGATACTCATCATGTTCCAGACTGCAAATGCATCAAAATGGTGTGACTTCATTAATGTAAAATACAATTCCTTTTGCGGGTTATAACTTATACTAGAAATACTTCATTAGTTAAAATAGACAAACAAATAAAATTAACTTAAATTGGAAACTAATATTTAGCTGTACAGACCATACATTTACATCTAACTGTTGCAAATATATGTTTTACAAGTTAATTAGTTTCCGGATTTTGTACTTGCATGTCAAAGAAAATTTTAATTTCTATAAATGTATACACTCATAAACTTCTTATATAGAGATTTAGGGTAGGAAAATGATTACTCATAAATATCAGTTATGTCAGATGTAGGATTTGTATATATTAAGGTATGTAGGTGTGTATAGTATTATGATCTCTCTATACATCCGTATTGCTTAAACTTATTATACATACACAATTCAATTTGTACCAAAAATTATCTAGAAACCACTGAACGATATCAACAACCAAAAAAAAAAAAAAAAAAAAAAAAAAAAAAAAGAAGCAAACAGCACTAATATCATCATCAAATGAGTTTTAGTAAGTACTATAAGGATTTAAAAATTCCTATTATCTTACAATGTCACATTAGTAGTGACACTAGTGAAAGAATTTAGGAGTAATGATCAGGAGAATGAACAACATTAGTATATGAGCAATTAATTACTAACTATAAACCAAATATTCCTAATCCTTGTATATTTGTGCTTTTCTTTAAAAAAAAAAAAAAAAAAAAAAAAAAAACTGGTGAAGGATTTTGCCAATTGTCTCTCGTGTAAGAGGGCACAATTCGTATATGCTAAATCACCTGAGTGGCTGATGTGGGATGTTTCCTAATAATGTTAAAGTTTTTATATATTAGCATTAGAGTATTTTGTGTATATTACCATGTTCATTTCGTTAAAATTCTGTATGAATTACTTTTTTATGCATGTCTCAAGCATGAACCCTTCGAAAGAGCTAATTCTTTTTCCTCTGATAAAAATAATTAAACTAAATAAAAATAAGGGTAAAAAAAAAGAAAAATTTCAAAGCAAATGTAACCCTAGGCTATGATAAGAATGTATAATGCTCATGATTTCAATTCGCACGCAGTGAAATCCGAAGATGGATGAAAATTTTGTATAATGTCAGGCCTTAGCAATAAGTTAAAGTTAGGCTCACAGCTCGTTAATTTTGTTCCTCATTTTACTTCATGCATGCAACTAATGCATTCAAATAATACACACATATGCCAACTAATGCATTCAACTCACTGATCCTTAATTTTGTGACAGATTATTTGAACTATAGAACAAGAATAGATCAGCTTTCTATTGTAAAGTTTTCATACACATCACAATGGTAAATGATGAAAAACATGATTTTTTAGGTGGCAAAAGAACCTGATCATGAATCCGGTAAGTTGATATATATACACATATATATATATGTATATTTACATGTATCTATCATCCATATCTTTAAACTCATTATACAATATATCATCCCGAAATATCAACCATGATTGATCAAAAACATTAAAAATTATAAAGACGACGCCCTAGTATATTGTTTTCGTCTTTACAACACTATGATTTTATAAAATTCACATTACAATAGAGCATGCAGCTAGCACTCTAGCTACATCTCTACTACTCTTATTGTCATGCTGTTGTTGTTGTTGCAAGTTAAAAATGTGGTCCATATTAAAAGTTCAAACCATGAAAAAGGTACTGTTTAATCCTTACATTAATTAAGTTTAGTACTACCAAATATACATTTTGTTGATCAAATGCAAAGTTCAAAATTTTCTTGTAAGTAAAAGCCAAATGCAACATAGACATAAGAACAATAATAGTAGTACTAGAGGTGCACCATAATACATTAGCTATATTGATTTGCAGGAGAATTTCATTTTAATTTTGCAGTGAAATAAAAAGAAAAAATTAAGGTGGCAACAAGAAAATCAATAAATTAAATTACTTTAGTGCAGAAAAAGAAGGTAGCAAGAATTAATGAAGGAAAATAGTTAAAGATGTATGAAGAGAGAAATATTTTCTGTTATATAACAGAGCTGGCTACCTTATCGCTTTTAATCTCTGCAAGTCTGTCTGAGAAAACCCGCGAGCACTGGTGTGCCCAACGAAGCAGCGACAAGAACAACAAACCTACCAAAGGTAAAATACAAAACTGCAATTACATCAGGTCGCTCTAGCACTAGCAGCACTTTTGTTCTGATCATCATCTGTTTCCTGAGCAGTCAGCAGGAAAGGTTGTTTCTTCCATTTACTTACTTAAATGAAAACAACAACAACAACATTGAAAGGAGGGAGGGGGAGAGAGAGAGAGAGAGAGAGAGACCAAAGAGATTAATATACAAGTAAATAAGCATATAAATTGTAACAAATTCATATTTCATATAAATTGTAAAAATTCATATTTCATATCATCAGTGATACAAAATGAGAGCATGAAATCTTGGGGAAATGATGGATCTATGCCTTGATAGAATATACCACTGCGCTGCATATGATCTATATCTATCTATATAGATTGTTATTATATAATATAAAAATATTTATACACCTGAAAATTAAGTTACAAAAACTCTTAATAAAGCTATCAATTCATTAGATCATCATCATTTCATTCTCTTATAAAATAAAAACCCAAAACCTTGTACCTTTTCTGTACAGATGACTATCCATTGATCTGAGAAATGAGTTCTCTCCCAACTTCTTATTCAATTGCAAATTTGCCACATCATCCCATTTTCTCCTTCTGCATTTCTCGTTTCTCTTCTTAATTTTGACAACCTTGGATGTTTATTGGCACTGTGATGGAGTAGTCAACTAGACAGCAAAGTCCAAGGACATGGAAGATGGGGAGGCCTTGCCACTCACGTTGAGAAAGTCGGTGGTGGTACTAGTAGTGGTGGTGGAGGGCATGGTTTGGTCGTGGAGAGGCATGCCGTCGTAGAGCCTTAATTGGAGCGGTGGGGGTTGCGATGGCGGCGAAAGTTGGTGGTGAGCATGATGATGATGATACTGAGATGATGATAATGTGGTTGAAGACAATATGTCACATTCATGATCCGACTCCGATATGGGACACTCCATGTTCACTCCAAATAGCCTCAGCTTCTTGGCTGCCGCCTTCCCATGGACCACTGGCACCGACTCCAGAACCATATTCGACTCATGAACCCGACCCAACTGTACTTGTTGGTGTTGTTGAAATTCTATTAGTCTGCTGTCCCCTTGCTCAGGAAACTGTGGCGGGGCAGCGGATGAAGCTGATCTCAAATAATAAATCGGCCCAGTAGAGTTAACCACATTTCCGTAACCATAAGAACCCGAACCACCACCACTCGTCCCAGTATTTCGATATGGGTGATGCATATTGACGCCGTAATTAATCTGCTGCTGCGACAAGTGGTCCGGAGTCACTACTGCCCCGGGAGGTCTCATCAGCAACGGGCTCCATGGAACCGGCCGGTGAGGGTTCCAGGAGTATTGATGCTGATGCGGAATTGCAAAATTGGGTTGATAATGTGGATGAAGTGGGTGGTGGTGGTGGTGATGGTTTGGATAAGGCGCATCCGGGCGGCGCCGCCAATCAATAAAAAGACGGTCTTTCCCCACCTCACCAAGTCCTCGCTGGAACGAGACTATGTCGCCGGCGTCGAGCTTTTTCTCCTTCACAAACCTGCTCCACCCTTTGGTCATCACGTAGCTCTGGCTGCTGTTCCAGTAGGAGTACCTAAACCGCCACGGCTTCCCGTTCCGGTCCTCGAAATTCAGCAGAAGCCCCTTCTCGTTGCTGGAAGAATCCAACGGGAAGTACTTCTCGGCGTGCTGTTTCGGGATGACGAGGCGGTTGAGCTTCCCTACGTCGCTCGGCGTCACGACTTTGTCGAACATGTGCTCCCTCTCGATGGGGATTGGGTTTTCTTCTCTTTGAGCACCACCATCTTCGTTGTTTTCTCGGGGGGCCGAGTCCATAAGCTCAAGCTTCGTGTCGGGGCTGCCTCTGCCGTCGTGCCAGCTGCGGCTTCTGCTGACAGCCGAAGAAGGGACCAGAGTGGCTACGCCGGTGGGTTTGATGTAGTGAGGAGAAGACGAAGATGAAGAGGGAGAGGAAGAATATGAGAAAGGAAGCTTACCTCTCACCATATTTTGGTCATCCTCAGTAGAAAATCCAGCATCTCTAGCTCTTGCGGCTGCTGCTCCGAAATTCATGATAAATAAAAAATAAAATAAAAGTGGAAAATCAGGGGAAAAAAACCCCCACTTCTTGTTTTTGACTACCTCAAATTCCTAGATCTTGAAGATCTAAGGGAAGAAGAAAAAAAGCAGGTTTGTTGGGGGCTAAACTCTATAGCTAAGACTTTTCTTTTCGCACTTTCCTCTATCTTTTATGTTATTATTATTGTGGGGTTTTTTCTCAACTTTTTGTGGTTTTTTTTTCTAGGGTTGAGATTGCTGATGGAAAATTCTAGTGATGAAGAAGAGGAAAGTAGGAGGAAGCTGCAGGCTGAAGAGAAGCAGAAGCTAGAAGGGTAGCTCTCAATACAATGACGGTCGGTGCATTCTTCTTTGACCAACAAGACTCAGATACCCCATGAACGTTTCAAAGAGAGCAAAGAAGTTCCTCTTCTTGTTGACCTCGGGCTTTGAGAGAGAGAGTGCAAGGGAGGGAGAGAGAAGAAAAGAAGTTAAAGAAGGAAAAGAAAGAGATATTTGTAGTAGTAATTTTTGAGTTTTTGAAAACACTATTACATGATGTTATTATTTTATTCAACTTAAAATATATTAATTATTTTTTATTATTAAATTTTAAATGTGTGACATATAATTATATTGTTTATTTATATTATAAAGCGTAAAATAATATACTTGTTTTTTAAAAAAAAAATCTCCATTTGAAGAGAAGGCTGGCTATTATATGCCATGCCTGGAACCTTCTCCAGTTAGGCATGATTTTTTTAAATATTTTTTCCATGTTATAATTTTGATTGGTTTCTGATGAATAAAATTGTGGGAAATTAAATATAAGTAGGGACCTCATGTATTATCTTTGTTGGGCTCATGTGAGCTTGTCCCTGTCATCATCCTGGGTGGTATTTTCATTTTTATTTCAAAGTTTTAATTTTTTTTCAATCTTATCTACGATAAGGCCCAAAGGGCCAGCTGTTTTGGAGAGCACGAACTTGTAAATTCAATACAGCAACTAGGATCGGTGGACCATTTTTATTCTTTTTTGGCTTTATTTTTGGAATTTTGCTTCTATGGAACCTATTTTAAGCATCTGCTGCTAGCAACTAAGCAAAGCTAGTGAAAAGAAAGAAAGAAATTGTGAATTTTAATTTACGGTAAGTGAGTTTTTGGGGTTAATTAACTTTACTTGCTTGATTCTTTTTTCTTTTTTCTTTTTCTTTTTTCTAACAGGACCATCCTCTATTTTAGGCAATATAATTGTTTGTTTTAAGTTACCCGCCCAGCTGCCCTTTGCTAAATCATTTAGTCTATTCAAAAGAAAAAAAATCATTTAGCCTTTTTGTTCTTTTGTTTTTAAGAAAAACTTCGACGATACAAGATGCATTCAAAGAGAAAGTTGTACTTAAGAAATCAACAAATCCAATTTTTTGTGCGAACTTTTTATTTAGGTAAAATCTTATTCATGAAGATATGCAAATTATTTATGTCATCATTTGTCATTTGGCCCCGTGAATATATTTTCGAAGTTAAATTTTTAACTTTCGTATTCCTAACTTTTGTTCTTGAGCTTGTTTCGAGTTCACACGTGTTTGATGAGCTTTTACCTTGTGAAAACTATTGATCAAGTGGTAGTAACGAACTGTGGGTACCTCAGCTTGATTCAAGTAATTTTATAGTGCAAGATATTAAGTGTAAATTCATTATTTTAATTGTTAACATGTGTTCTTTATAAGAAATTGATTCATGAATATAGGTGGCATTGGAAGAGAGTATTTTTCAGTTGATTTATGGATATGCTTAAAGTAGTAATGTTCATAAGGGTTAGTTATTGTTAACAACTCTGTAAGAACTTATGAATTGCGGAAAAATGAAAGAAAGGAATGCAATTGTAGAGAGAGAAAGAAAGCTATGAATTTCAGTATACTTCACCAAGTGAATTACAATGCCAGTTTACACACTTATATAGCTCAATAGTTGCCTTGCGCTCTAAGCTATTAGCACCAACAACTGTAACTAATAGCTGCAACAATTCTAACTAATTGCCACATCAGCTAGCTAATAATCTTACTAACTGTTTTGTCATATCAGCATAACTAATCTTTAGACAATAATACCCTTTAGTCAATACTGGTCAATATTCCCCCTCAATCTTAACTTGGGTTGCCAAGTTTAAGATTGTAATAATGCTTCACAAATGAAGGACCATGTAACCCCTTGGTTAGTATGTTAGCAGATTGATCTTCAGTAGGAATGCAGCTAACTTCCAAGTCACCTTGCTGCACTCTCTCTTAAACAAAATGGTAATCGGTGTCCAAGTGTTTTATCTAAGAATGAAACACCGAATTTGCACTCAATGAAATCACAGACATATAGTCACAATGAATGACTGGGGGTGTAGGCAAAAATAATTCCAGATCCTTCAAAATATACCTAATCCAGGCTATATCAGCAGTAATGTGAGCCAACGCTTTATATTCTGCTTCAGTAGAACTCCTAGAAACCGAATGTTGTTTCTTTGATTGCCAAGATATATGATTGTTGCCAAGGAAAACTATTTATCCAGTCACAGATCTTTGAGTATTCAAGTCTACTGCCTAATCTGAGTCTGAGAAAGCATTAAGAGTTGGTTCTACATCTAATGAATACACAATACCATACTTCAATGTTCCTTGAAGATATCTCAGTATTCGTTTCATAACCCTAAGATGAATATCAATTGGTGTTCATAAATTGACTTACTAAATTTATTGCAAATGCAATATCTGGCCTAGTGAAGGTCAAATATTGCAAGGATCCAACTATACTCCTATAAAATGTAGGATCACTGAGAGGAATTCCTTTTGTCACTAACAATGAGTTGTGCGGTTTACATGGTGTTGAAGTCGGGATTGGCTCACAAGAATCCCTACCAGCTTTATGGATTAAGTCTTTAATATACTTTGACTGGTTGACAAAGATATCACCACTTGGCTGATATGTAATTTGAAGACCCAAAAAATAGGTAAGTTTACCTAGATCCTTTAAGTCAAACACTTCAAATAATTCATAAATGGTACTTTTATAGAATTGGAACCTGTCAAAATGATATCATCAACATGGAGAAGGAGTATGATGATATCAACCCCATCTTTCTTCATAAACAAGCTTGTATCAGACATGGAAGCACAAAATCCCATAGCACACAAATAGCTTGTAAAAGTAGAGTTCTAGGCCTTTGGTGCCTGTTTAAGACCATATAGGGATTTGATGAGTTTACAAACATGATCAAGACATGTGGAATCAATAAAACCCTGAGGTTGTTCATATAAACCTCATCATGCAAATCTCTATGTAAAAACGCATTTTTAATTTCTAACTGTTTCAATTCCCAATGGTTCATTATAGCCACTGCAAGAATAATCCTCACTGTATGTCTAACAACAAGACTAAAAGTATCAGAGTAATAAATTCCATACTCTTGAGAAAACCCTTGAGCAACCAACCTAGCCTTGTATCTGGAAACATTGCCATCAAGATTCTTTTTCACCTTGTACACCCATTTACGACCAACAACTGACTTGTTAGTTGGAGGTGGAACCAATATCCAAGTACCCTGAGAGAGTTATATTTTTCTTGCATAGCATCCTGCCAATGTGATATACTTGCAGTTTTTCGAAAATTGGATGATTCGACGTTATCAGTAATCTCAGTGACAATGAATAACCACCAGAGAATGATTCATTTTCAGTGACTTTTAAGGATTTCAATTCTGGAAAAGTTGCTAGATATGCAACATAATTTTGCCTCTCAATAGTCCCATTTTTCAATCTTGTAACCATGGAATGATGAGGAAGTGAATCTGTTGTTGATACATGATTTTCAGAATTTACATTCAACTGAGATGAGAAGGGAAGAATTACCTCTAGTTGAGAATTGTGATGGACATGCATTAAAGGTGATTTGTTTGTTGTAGGAGTACAGTGATGGTGATGAGAAGTTGACTATGAAGATAATTGCTGCATATTTGAAGCACTGAGGGGTGAACTAGAAATTGACAGATCCCCAATATCAAACCCTTGTTGCATATTTGAAGATTGTTGCTGAGAAGAATTCCCTAACAAGGATTTTGTTTGTAATTCCTGAATTGAAACACACTTTGATGTTGGTACCTGATCATGAATTGCGGGAACTGCCATTTGAATCACAACAGTATTAATTCTTGCATTTTGTGACTGTATAGAGACATTAGAATCTTGAACTGGTGCATTTCTATATGGAAATTCATCTTCATTGTGAATTACATGTCTTGATAGAACCAACCTTTTGCTCTGCAAATCATAACATATGGCTCCTTTATGCCCCAAAGCATATCCAAGGAAAACACGTTTTGAAGATCTAGTTTGAAGTTTATTCACAGTGTATGGTCTCAGATTAACTGTGTTGAGATAGAGCATTGTAAGGATTCATAGTTTCAATAGTGTATGCTAGATCCTATGTTGAGATAATGATTTTCTCGTCGATCCACTGTGCAATTTCTCTTTATCAATCGAAGTTCTTTTCTAATTAAAGGTTTTTGGGGTTATTTCTGTTCGAGGTTCAAGATTGCAGTGTATATCAGGCTCTTCGTTTTTTATTTTATTGTGCACACCAATTGTTTGTTTTTATGCTTCAGTGAGAAAATGTTTGTACTTTTGTTCAAGATTGAAAGGCCGATAGCCATTTTATGAAAGATTGCAAGGCCAACAACCAACTTGTTAAAATTTTGAAGATTGTTACTTTTCACTCGAAAAAGGCCAATAGCCAAAGAGTGGTTTATTGAGAAATTTGTGATTTTGTCCCTAATATTCAAGAACAAAGTTTTTTGAGAAGAAAGAAGAATTGTTTGATCAACATTACTTGTAATTGTGTTCAAGTGGCAGAATCTATTATAAATATTGAAGGGTTACTTGGTATGCTTACAGTAAAGTTACAACAAGACAATTTTGTTAAGTGGAGTTTTCAGTTTTAGTCAGTTCTTAGAGGCTATTAGGCACAAATGTAGTGAACTTCACAAATTGCAATGAACTTGACAAAGATTGGAAAATCATTTGATTTATTTATCACAGGAAATATCCACACGAATCTTGAAAACTCATCTACAAATGTTATGTAGTATTTATACCCTTCTACAGACTGTGTTGGAGATGGTCCACATACATTAGAGTTGACTTTCTTAAACAGAAAACTAGCCCTATCATGTTTAACAAGAAATACTTGCCCACACATTTTCCTGTTAATACAAGAGGAACACGTAGTTTGACATGAATCTTTACTCAATACTTGCTTTTGCTCCAAGAAGTTGAGCCCTCAGATCTTTTATATAATATAGTTGAATCCCTAACAAGTATTACAGTTTTGATCATCTCAAACTCAGGTGGTAATCCAAACAAAACAACTATAAGAAAGTCATTCTCAATAATTTTTTTCTCCAGCAGACACAAGTTAATCTTTAATAGCCTTGATTTTTAGAAGAAATTTATCCATTGATTCCCC